AAACGCTTTTGATGGGGGGGGTTTTGGGGGGGAGGGGGGGGAGTCAAAAGTAACAATTTTATATTATAATATATTAATTTAAACTATTATTATCAAACAATTATATTCATTTAGTAACATAAATATACAGTGATGTGAAAAAGTGTTGGCCCCCTTCCTGATTTCTTTTTTTTGCATGTTTGTCACACTTTAATGTTTCAGATCATCAAACTAATTTAAATATTAGTAAAAGATAACACAAGTGAACACAACATGCAAGAAATTGAACTCAGGTGTGATAAACCACAGTTTTAACAGGGGGGCAAACACTTCTTCACACTGGGCCATGTAGTTTTGGATTTTGTTTTCCCTTAATAATAAAAACCTTCATTCAAAAACTGCATGTTGTGTTTACTTGTGTTATCTTTGACTAATATTTAAATTTGTTTGATGATCTGAAACATTAAAGTGTGACAAACATGCAAAAAAATAAGAAATCAGTAAGGGGGCCAACACTTTTTCACACCACTGTATCTTAGTGTAGGCTATATTCTTTAGAGTTTTATAATTCATTATCTTCTTGTCGATCCACCAGTTCACATTTACAACTGCATGTTTTCTGCGTAAAAATAAGGGTCGTTTTTGCCTTTGGTCTAAACAAAGAGCAGAAGGGCTTATTGAAAAATGCTAATTCATTCTCTGCCAGCAGGTAGCGCTTTTCGCCAGGAATATAGCCGTTTCCCCCATAACCACAGTAAACAAAGCAGCACAGCACCTGACTTTGAAACTTGCAGCGCTCATATTTAATCAATTAAATAGCCTTTTGAAGTGTAAGCTATATCTCATTATACATGTACATAACATTTTTTACTGGAGCACCACCTGAGTCTTCTCCTCCCATTTTTACCAGTGATCATTGTTTCCTTTCCACGGTACTACCTGCGCACATATCAATAGCATCACTGGGCTGTAGGTTGCCAAGTTGAGGGGACAAATGGGTTGAAATTTATATGCGTCGATCGTGTGAGAAAGATGCGTTTCATACAAGATCTGCCAACTGGACAACCTTGGAATTTGTTGACGTGATTATTCATATAATGAGGTTTGGCCATACAAATTACGGGAGTTTTCCCGGAAGCGAATGTAGCAAACATATAAAATACGCCCAGAGTGATTTTTTGTTTTTTATAGAAAGATTAAAAATACGGGAGAAATATGGGAAAATATTTAAATGGGATGATAGCGGGATATACTGGTAAAATACGGGAGAATCCCAGGAAGAACGGGAGGGTTGACAGGTATGTAAACATAAATGAGTGGAGTGTGACCTTAGAGCTTTTGTCCTGTTTCTGTTGTTCCACCTCTACTGCCATCTGCTGTTTGTATGTGAACAGCTCCTCCTGCACCTGCTGGGTGCTGCTGAGCTGCTTCACCATCTCTGTATTCTGACACAGAAAATCGTGACCATTAACAATGACAATAACCATATGGCAAAGACATTTCACCATCTTAAGTTTAGATACTTTTTTCTCCAGAACTCCTTGTGGCAACATATTTGGGGAATATTCCTCACATTAGGCCATAACAGAAATTTGAGGAAGACAATCACAATGTGTCAAAGTATAATTGTACTGGAGGATCACATATCGTGTAATTGATGCTGTGAGTGACAAAGTTACCGGCACTGTTTATCAATAATATGTGAGGAAAGCAGCACAAAATTGGCTTTACCTTCCGCATGAGATCAGCATGTTTGCTAACCAGCTCGGCGTGTTTCTCTTTGAGTCGAGTGAAATGTATCTGAGCAGTCTGAGCTCTGCCTAGAAAACATGAGAACAAGAGATTTTCATTCATACTACCATTCAAAAGTTTGAAAAAGGAGATTTTTTAAAAATGTTTTCAAAAGAAGACTCTTATGCTCACCAAGGCTGCATTTATTTGATCAAAAATACAGTAAACACAGTCATATTATGAAATATTATCTTGATTCAAAGTAACTGGTTTCTTTTCAAATATATTTTAAAATGTAATTTATTCCTGTGATCAAAGCTGAATTTTCAGCATCATTACTCCAGTCTTCAGTGTCACATGATCCTTCAGAAATCATTCTAATATGCTGATCTGCTGTTTAAGAAACATTTCTTATGATTATCAGAGTTGAAAACAGTTGCTGGAAACCATTATATATTTTTGTTCAGGATTCTTGAAAAGCACAGCATTTATTTAAAATAAAAATATTTTGTGGCATTATTGTCTTTCACTTTTGATCAATCTACTGCATCCTTGCTGAATAAAATATTAATTTCTTCCAAACAAACAAACAGTAGCATATATGTTGTGTATCTGAGTCTGGGGTCAGAGGTCACTCACTGCCCGCATCCTCGACCGTGGCCTGTATGCTGGCAGCGACTGCGGTCTGTGCTCTGAGGCTCTCCACCTCCATGCGCAGACGTTCGTTCTCCACCAGCGCCATCTGCTTGTGCGTCCGCTGGTCCTCAAGCTCAGATTCCAGTATATTGACCTGAGATTTGAGCTGGACAACGGCACGCTGGGCCTGCAGACACACAGATGATGGGAATCAATCACAGGAGAAGAAAACACATCTCAAGACAGATGTAAATAAAGACAAATGTCTAACCTCCACTTTTATGAGCTCCAGCTCTGGTTTCACCACCTCAAGTTCCTTCCTCAGAGTATCAGCCTCGGTCTCTCTGTGTGAGAGTTAATATTATAGATAAAATGAAAAGAAATTTTAAACATTTGGACACCAATTTGTTCTTTATGTCACTATTATCGACAATTTAGAATAATAGTACGGTCATCAAAACTATGAAATAACACAACTTATCTTTGTGTACAAAACTATTTTAAACATCAGATTAAAAGGTTTTAACGATCATAAGTAATGTAATTTCAGTGAAAAGTGCAACCAAACATTTGATTGACTTCTAGCTTGGTTTTAGATTTTTTTTTCTCCTAAAACTCCCTTTTACACAAATAAGTCATGTCTACATCAGGGTTATTATCATTAACTAAAACTAAAGCAAATTTAAAAAAAAGTAAAATTGTAAAGTATAAATTTTAAAGCAAAAAAAATTGTTACTTGAAACAAAATAAAATAAACAATAAAATAAAATAAAGTAAACTTATTTTCCCAACATAGCACTGAAACTGCTCTGGTTAAGGTTGCTAATGACCTACTGCTTGCAGCCGATGCTGGCTTGTACTCCATTTGAATCCTTCTTGAGCTTAGCTCAGCCTTTGACACAGTGGACCATAATGTCTTGATCAACCGTTTAAAAACTTATGTTGGTATCAGAGATGTAGCTCTGGATTGGTTTATTTCTTATTTGTCGAATAGGTCTTTTTCCGTAGTGCTTGGAGATGCCTCCTCTTCTCGTGCTCCTTTATTTTGTGGGGTCCCTCAGGGATCTATTTTGGGTCCCCTTCTGTCTACTATCTACATGTTACCCCTGGGTCAAATTATGTGCAGTTATGACATTGAGTTCCACTGCTATGCAGATTATACACAATTGTATGTCCCGGTAAAGCCTGGTATTATTGATTCATCCCATATTATATCATGCTTCATCGAAATCAAAAATTGGATGAAAAAAAGTCAGAAGTGCTTATAATTACCTCATGAGTCCCCAGTAGCGCTAGTATTAATAATCTCGCCTCTAGTCTGGGTGCCTTATCTAATAATGTTCGAAAAGAGGCTCGCAACTTAGGTGTTGTTTTTGACTCAGAACTGTCCTTTGATGTTCAGATGACTAAAGTGGTGCAGTCTTGTTTTGCACAACTGAGGCAATGAATGAGGTCATTCATGCTTTTATTTCTTCCAGACTTGATTATTGTAATGCACTTTATTCTGGTATTAGCAAGATAAATCTCCTAAGATTGCAGCTGATTCAAAATGCTGCTGCTAGGCTTTTAACGCATACTAAGAAAAGTGACCACATTTCACCGATTCTTGCTGCTCTTCACTGGTTGCCTGTGAGTTTTAGAATTGATTTTAAGATTTTGTTGCTTGTTTGTAAGGCCTTGAAGTGTCAGGATCCTGCCTATATTTCTGATTTATCAATTCCTTATGAGCCTGATCGCTGCTTGAGATCCTCCGGTAGGGCCCTATTAATGGTTCCAAAATCTCGACTTGTTACCAAAGGTGACCACGCTTTTGCTATCCATGCGCCTAAGCTATGGAACTCCCTGCCTGGGATATTAGGCAGGCTACTACTGTATCCTCTTTTAAGTCTCTTCTTAAGACTAATTTTTATCATATGGATTTTTCTTAATTTTGATGGTATTTTTTGTATTTTGTTACTGTACTGATCTTTTTATTGTAAAGCACTTTGTAACTTTGTTTTGAAAGGTGCTATATAAATAAATGTTTACTTATTTTATTTCAGCTAAAAGACATCATTGCTCATTTTTGTTTAATTTAAGTTTAATTACTAAAATAACTCAAACTAAATAATCTAAATAAAATAATATATAGAAACTATATAGACATTAAAAAAAAATAATAGCAATAAAAATAACAAAAACACAACAAAATTACAAACGATTTAACTACAATTAAAGTAAAAACTGAAGATATATGAATAAATTCTCATTCATACAAAGAAACTATAATATGTATCTATTTCAGTTCACGTGATTTTGGAAGAAGTTGATGAGAACTGAAAATGAGAATATTGAGTTCATATTTAGATCTCTGACAAATCTGAGCACAGTTTGAGATATTGTTGAGATCTTCTGAAACTCTAGAAGTCTGCATTTGCTCTCCATTTAGTCTAACTTTTGCCAATGAAAAACGGATAAATAGTTAAATAGATCTAACTTGTGAGCTTTCTTTCATAAAGTGGTATGTTACCTTTGCTCTGGTATGTCAGTTGGAGGGTCAAACTGGTTGTATCCGTAATACTGTTGAACAAAATAATCAAATGTTAAAATTGTCACAAATGTGGAAAAGCACTTAGTAAGACTTTCTCTGAGCCAATCTACAAGGCTTGACCAATCCAGGTTGTTTTTACCATCTGATAGTTTCCTTCACCAAAATCCAGCTGCGTGTCCGTATCATCGTAGTCAGGGAATGTCTCATTCTGAACGACCACAGGCTTCACATGATCAGCGAATGAAGCCGCACGCAGGAAATTTGGAGGCTCCTACAACATTCAAATGCATATAGTCATCTGTTCAGCATTTTACGCCATCTGTCAATATTGTTTATTTCATACCATTTTGTAAAAATGTTTTCAGTAAACACGACTTGAAATTCAAAATGTAAAGATCTTACATCGGGAAGATCAGGAATCTGAATGATAGATTTGAAAAACTCCATCCCTCTCGCTCTCTCAAAAAACTGCGTCAAACTGTGGAGGACAAAGACAGACCAAAAACTACTCAAAGCAGCAGTAATTTCATGAACTCCACTTTTACATTTTGTGAATTTAATTGAATAAAAGCACCTGCCAAATTAGTATATGTAAATGCACTGTAAATAAATGCTGCTCTTTTGAACTTCCTATTCACCAAAGAATCCTAAAAAAAAATGTATCACAGTTTTCATGAAAATATGAACTCTTTTCAACATTGACAATAAAAAGAAATGTTTCTTGAGCAGCAAATCGGCATATTAGAATGATTTCTGAAGGATCATGTGACACTGAAGATGCTGAAAATTCAGTTTTGCATCACAGAAATAAATTACAATAAAGTGCACTCAAACAGAAAACAGTGCTTTTAAATTGTAATAATATTTCACAATATTTATATTTTTACTGTATTTTTAATTAAATAAATGCAGACTAGGTGAGCCTTGGGGAGACTTTTTTTTCGGTAAGAAAAAAAATCTTACCGACCGCAAATGATTCTGAATTATAATGTACATTACATCAGTAATGTCTGATATTATTATTATTTATTTTTTATAAATCAGTGTCGTTATGATTAGGCTGATATTGGAAGGGTTAGGAAGGATATCAGGGTTTTTTTTTTACTAGAAACATTTAAAGTACTAACATTTGACCATCTTTTCTTCTGTACATTATAATGTTTTGATACCTGAATTCACTTGTAAATTTCTAGATTGGCATGAAGAATGTTTATTTCAATAAATATATATGAATAAATATACATCAGTCAGTGGCAATAACAAAAACTATTTTCTGCTTTTGCTATTGGACAAAATTTCTATGTCGGTGCATTCTTACATAATACTGCAGTCCACCGTTACCTGTTGAACTGCTCGCGGAATTGTTCCCTGTGTCCTAACAGAGCGTCCAGCGGTATTCCTGTGACACAGATGCACAGCGCCGGTAAACTCAATGAAAATGATGCATATAAATGAAGAGAGCAGCATGTAAACAACAAGACTCACGGCTGTGTAGCCTGAACAAGAGCTTGACCAGGAAATGGTAGAGCGGACCGCAGTCCTGGATGACGAGAACCAGCGGTGCCAGACGGCACTGACCCACAGGAGTGGTAGAGCTGGTGGAGCTGGACTCCATCTGCCGGAAAACTGCATTTAAAAAGTAAAAAATATTTTTTATACACACACTGCCGTCTCTTCTGCTCACCAAGGCTGCATTTATTTGATCAAAAATGCAGTAATTTAAAATAACTGTTTTCTATGTGAATATATTTTAAAATGTAATTTATTCCTGTAATGCATAGCTGAATTTTTAGCATCATTACTCCAGTCTTCAGAGTCACATTATACTTATTTATTTATATTTTGTGCAATCCGTGATACATTTTTTCAGAATTCTTTGACGTGTAGAAAGAAAACAGCACTTGAAATGGAACTCTTTTGTAACTTTATAAATGTCTTTACTGTCACTTTTGATCAAATGAATGTGTAAGTAATGAATCAGAAAGCATTAAAAAGGCATTTTTGTGGTAAAACATTATGTTTACCTGTTTCTTGCAGCTTTAGAGCTGCTTCCATGTACTCCAGAACCTCACCTGTCATGTCAAACCTGTACATAATTAAAGTAATTAATTTACATCAACAGATTATTCAAGCTCACTGAAATAACTAGCGATGTACTTACACTTTGTTAATATCAATGGCGATGGCTTTATCAAGAACCTGTTCAGGAGCTTCAAGGTTTGGTGGGATTTCCAGATGCTGTGGTGGAAACAAGATAGATAGATAGATAGATAGATAGATATTTTTTCACTCATATGTCAATGAAGGAAACATTAAACTTACCTTTAAATGGAAATCGATTTTAACACACAGCAGCTTGGCATACAGTGCAACAATATGTCCATATCTATCATGCAGATTCCCCTAAAACACAGCAAACACATACAAAATTTAAGCTGAAAGTTTCAGATGAAAGATGATGTAAATGACTTGCTCAACAGAAAAACATCCAGATCATTTCGAACTCACCCATAATGTTCCCATCTGTCTAATGCTTGCGGTGTGACCTCTGCTGTCTCGTAAAGTCTACAAGAAAGACATCAATTTATATTTGTAGGGTAGTTTTAGACAAATATAGTCAAATGAAAGTCATTTTCATCTGATGATACTGTGGTAGATGAGACTGACGTTAGGATGGCCGTCTCGAAGCAGTTTGTGCACCACGTGGCAGAACTTCCAGCTGAGGATGGCGTTACTGGACAGCGGCAGACTCACGGCATGAGACCAGAATGTGACGGCACCGCCTTCCTTATGCGTGCCTAAAATGATATCTGTGCAAAAGTTAAGGACAATGTACAAGTCCAGATGATATTTCGCAAAGATGATTCATAACATTTGCTAAATAGCAAATTTCAAGTGCCTGAATTTTTATTGTATCTTAAAATGCAACTAGATTATCACCCAGCTCTTTAAATAAAGTTGGAAATATATAACTAAATCCAACTTTATCCATATACATAGAGTACAATCACATAAAGCTATATATAGAATATAGAAAATCTCATTTGCTTGAATGTTTACATTGCAGTAAAATCTAAACTATATTATCACCCAGCTGTGATTCTGCAAAATGCAACTAATAAGGCATGAAGATATTACGATATTATAAACATTAACATCATCATTTTTCGTGAAGCTGCTTTGAAACAGTTTATTGTGAAAAGCGTTACACAACTAAATTTGACCGATTGACTGATAAAGTACATGCTGCGACTGTAAAACCTGGGCATCTGTGCGTAAGCTCACTACAACACACAATGAACATGATTATAAACATAAGAAATGCTGTATTAAACCAATATTAAAGGATACTGCGTCCATATTTCTCTTTGATAGGGGCCTCCACATTGGTGATGGATTTGGTGATGCTCTGAAGCTGTAAAGCAGATGAAATGGGAGATTTGACATAACATCATTAATTAAACACAATAAATGATGCACACCTGTAATGTAAATGAATATGACTGTTTAAAATATTAAATACTACACATCACAATGAAGTGAAGCACAAATTAATAACCAATAAATAATTGCAGCCAGGATGATCATCCGAGTCTGATTTTACATGTGTTTACATAGCAGTTTTTGGTAATATAATAATACAATACCATATCCATACCATGGTATTTACATGGTACTTTAATAATATCATGATGTATATCCATATTACTATGGTAAAAGACATTGGACTACACTGTTACCATACAAAACATTTTTGGACATGTATGGCACGGATCCAAAAAAGATTATAGTGACTATCAAACACGTTATTACTGTGGTACATAACATGCCCAGCATTATCACATATCACAAAATATGGCATTATAATGGCGCATGTCCAAAAAACACGGAATGTACATTAAAACAATGTTTTTAAAACATAATGGCGATTGTTTTTCGGCGACACATATGCAATTAACATAAATTTCGCGGGGATTCCAAGCAATAAAATGTGAGGATTTAAAAGTGGAAAACTATTTTAAATAGTTTCAAAGATAAGGTAATATGACAAAAACACCTGATGATAAATAGTCTATTTATCAGGTGTTTTTGTCATAGTACCACCTTATCATTGAAATTAAAAGGAAAACACCAAAGATTTTTCTATGAAGTATATATATAAACGACCACTAAAAATCAAATACTCGTTGAATGAAGTAAATATGTGCGCGGGCGTCATTCTCACCTGAAGTTTGACGAATTGCTCCTTTTCTGCAGCTAAAGCTTTTTCAGATTTATCCGTTTTCTCGTTTTTCTTCGATTCGGTTTTCTTTGAGGCCATGTTTAACTCCTTCCTCAGCTGAAACCAGATGTGTACAAATGATCGAGTCCCGACACACACACACACACACACACACTATACCTGTCACGCCAACGAGTCACACACAGGTGAGTTTCCTCACACGCGCTCAATGAACGAAGCTTACTCAATCTGAAATTGTATTTCAGCCAAAAATAATAATAATAATAATATTCCAAAAAACAGTAAAACCATTAAATATTCCAACTACTTAAACCATGAACTACTTGTTTTTTTTATATATATATAAAAAATACAAAATAAACACTAAAATGAAAGTCACTCAAAATCACCCTTTAAAAGAAAAAAAAGTTAATGACAGCATGTAAAGACCTTTATTGTTCTTTCAAATGTCCTGAGATTAGGCAAATATCAGTGGCTTTTGAAAGATGGCTCCTTGTCCTTACTGTGAGAACAAGACTGCATTTCAGGTGTAAAACAATGATCAGGACAAGAGCCACATCACAGTTCCTTATCTTTGAAACCAAACAGGTTCGATGACAGTGAAACTGGAATGACAAAAAAACAACCAGCACCATTGTGTCATCTTGTATGACAGGTTTAACACTTGAAGAAAGTAGTTTATAAATAACGACAGTCTTAACATTGTTCAGAGGTAGTCCTTCTGTAGCATTAATCATTAATGCTTATTTTTATACACATATCATAAACTGATTTGGATAAAAATGTAAAGCTAGCATCTGTAAAAACTACATGTTAGCTTCACAAAACTCCTCTTTGGTTGCAAAGAACTGATTTATTTTCAGAAGCTGTAGAGAAGATGGAGGTAAACGGGGATTCGCTGCTTCTCGTGGCTTTATGGACCACATTACTTGCTTCCTTGATGCAAACGTGGGCTGCTTTCGATCTGGGAGTCACTTTCCTTTAGGACAATAAGGAGAAAATGGCATTTAGCTGCAGTTTCATCTTGAAGCATACTATGCATTAAACTGGGTTTTGTGATGTAATAGGTACCCCGTGTGTTTGTCTGCCCTCCTGGCTATGGGTGGAGGTTTGGGAGTGGCTGCCGTTGCCATGGTTACTTTGGAGGTGACAAATGGCATCGCAGTTCATTGGGCTCTGAGGTTTCGTTGGGCTGACAGATTTCTTGGTAGAACTTTCCAAACTTGCCACCATTTCCTGAGACTCAGCCAGCAGACGCTGTAACCGTGTTGTGGACGAGCTGTAGCCCTCCTGCGTGGTATGAAAATACACAAGAGGCTAATACTAGTGTATCGTACAAAATAAGTATTTAATCATCATCATCATCATAATTATTAAAAATGCTATTTTTATTATTATTTAAATTATAAAAATTACAGGGAAAAAAAATACTGTATATATAGAGCCGGGTTGTCAAAACAAATTCTAATTTCGAATATTCGTCAAATTTAAAATAAAAATCCACATTCGAATGGAAAAATGCTGCATTCGAATTTTAGGTGTGCGTTAAGGAGGCAGCACGAGATGCGATGACGATGTAAGTGTCGTTGCATTTTAATGTTTTTGTTAGTCTATCCAGTTGAACCCACTGGATGCAGCGCTGCTGCGTTGTTAATGACAAATATTGCGGGAAAAAAGAACATCAATGCGGAGAAGATGTTGTTTACGTCAAAACTGAAATCTAGCCGTTCACACAGAACGCATATTTCGCGCACTTTCTAGAGGGACATCTATCACCGTTGCACTCGCATCTCGCACAAAAGAGCAGCATGTTTAGAAAGCCATGTAAAATTAATGCAAGTTCAACTTTGAAAAAACATATCTCGAGACTTATGGCGGGGCAACTTAAGCAACTTAACTAATTATAATTGGTTTATAAACATTATTTTAAACATTATGCACTTTTTTTCACATATAGTCACTATCTTATGCTTTGAATAAACATGCAGTAGTAATATTTTGCTCGATGCGCCCTCTTGTGGCCTCAGGAGAGAAGCCAAACGCTTTTCTTCACCCTAACTGAAATTATGCATTTTAAATTCAAATATAATTCGAATTTTGATCATATTTAAGTACAAAATTCGAATTTAGTTTTTCAGCCATTTTGACAGCCCTAGTATAGAGAGAGAGAGTTGTATTTTTGCATTGTATTGTTGAGCTACCTCATTGCCATGGCGAGCTACATCATTGGCACAGAGTTCAATGCTTAGCGTAGAATCGGGTAAACAGACAGAGCTCCGCCTACTTCTGTGACAGGGGGAGGGGCAATCCAGATGAAGAAGGCTCAGATCTGCTGAGCTAGTTAATGAAGAGAAAGTCACTGTTATGATCAGGCCAACAAAATCAACAATGGTTTTATGCCTGCTTGATCTTAAAACATACCTACATAAAATCTGCAATATTCAGGGCAATGGATTTTATTATGGTAGGACATAGTAAAACTTAGCACTCCTTTAATAAGCCACCAAAAAAAAGGAAATATTATATTTAAAATTGGTATGTGCTTTTAGCATCGCCAAGGTGTGCGTCTGATTCCCAGGGAATGCATGAACTGATAAAATACAATTGAATGCAGTGTAAGTTGCTTTGGATAAAAGCATTTGCCATATGCATAAATGTAAATGCTTTTAACTGAATGGGGGGGGCAACAAACAAGCAACTTTGCTCTTGGATTCATTGGGAGTTTTTGTATAAACCTATGATTACGACCTAACTTGCCAGATGTTTTAGCTAGAGAAGCCTACCAAGAGAATCTTGGACTGATATCCACATCAACAACACAAACGGGAGTTCCTGTTTCTGAATCATAGTCAATGACAGCCATTAAATCCACATCAGCTCTAGTGTCACAGTGCACTGCCTGACTGTGTGGATCTTCTGATGGGCTGTCAGCATTATCACAGCAGAGAGACTGGGATGACGGCTCAACACAGATGTTCGCTCTTTCCTTCATTTCCATCTTGGATGATTCTTGTTCACTGATGCCACACTGGCTAGTTGCACAGCTGTTCTTAATGTTGGCGCCACAGCAACTTTCCACTACAGCTGAAAGCTCTGTGAATTCATGGTTTGTGGTGCTCAAAGCTGCACCAAAGTCATGCTCAAAGTCAGTCTGCGTTTCCATTTCAACACAAGGACGCTGCATTAAAATCGATGGGGCATTTCCACTTGTGCTGTGGCACAGGGTGGACATTAGCCCTGTTTCTAGTTCTGTCCCTTCCTGATGATCACTGTTTTCTAGCACATGACTGTCTCCTAAACCAGAATCAGCCCTACGAACACAACAACACTCATAACTCAAGATGCCTAGACCAGGGTTAATAAATGTAAAAAGTTGGAAATATTGCTTTGGCAAATAACTGAAATAAGTTACTAAATAAGAACTACAATTACTGAATGGAAATACAAATACAAACTAAATATTAAATAAAACCAAAACCAAAATAAATGAAACCTATATAAGTAATATTAAAATATCGTAAAATATTACAAATAAAACCTAATTCTAAATAAAACTAACTGGATATGAATAAAAACTGAACTAAAACTAAAACATTATATTAAACCTACATAGTAATATTAATATTTTACAATATTCCAAAAAACATTAAATAAATTATTAAAAATAAACTAAAATTAAGATGAAAACTAAACATATAAAATATAAAAAGAAATTTTAAATAAAATTACTAACCGGAAATGAATAAAAACTCAAACTTAAATAAAAATATATTAGACTTAAATAGTAAAACTGTAAAAAAAAAGATAATAACAACAGAAGTGCTATAACAAAATTTCTCTATATAACAATTGACTACAAATTAAACTAAAATGAAACCTAAAATATAAAAATAAAAGATAATTCAATATATTAAAAATGTATAATAGTAAAAACAAACAAACAAAAATACTAAAACACTGGTATGGATAGATGTAAAGCCAGTGGCTGAAATAAGCTATTTAATTTGATAAAACACTGCATGTTGTAGATGCCCACCTCTCATGTGACCTTTGACCCTCATGATGTCGGAGTGTCTCTCTGGCACTCTCCAAGTTCAACTTCAGCAGCTGGAGGTCATTCTGTTGGCTTTCACACACCTGTCACAAACATATGCAATAATCATAACCCTATCAATCATTTATTATGTGCTGACTTGGTGTGAAGAAAATCCTAACCAATCAGAAAATTTCTGATGCTTTAAGTACAGAAATATGGATCAGGATTATAGAGAAATATAAAAAAGGCCCATTATAAAAAGGCAAAAAGATTTAAGAAGGGTAATCATCGCTAACTAAAGCCATAAAATAAATTTTTGTTACTTTGAACTTTAACTGAAATCAAATAAAATATACAGAAAAAAACACCTTAAACCTATTTTATTTCAGCTAAGTGACAAGGCAAATTTCTAATTTTCTTCAAGTACTAAAATAACTAAAACTAAAATAAAATAAAAAAAATACACAATAAAATTACAAAAAAAATTTAAACTGAAAACTGTAAATATAAAAATTATAATAGCATCTCGATACCAAAGTAAAACTGGGTTATAACCTGTTCTTTTAAGATTATTGGTGCTGTTTTAGAAGAGATCACGACCATGTTTAAAACACTAAGGCCCGGTTTCACAAACTTAGCTTAGCTTAAGCCAGGACTAGACCTTAGTTAAATTAAGATATTTAAGCAACTTTTACAAAAATGCCTTAGAAGAAAACATTACAGGTGTGCATCTTGACACAGAATCTTTCCCTTGTCTGTGAAACCGGGGGTAAGTCATGAAAAAGGAATGCAGGAAGTCTTACAAGCATGCTGAAAAACTGGAAAAACTACTCCGGAACAAATGGAAATGACAGAGATTTCTAAAAATGAACGCTGGCTGGCATTGGATGATGTAAAGGGAGGAAGTTTTGAAAGACAGTACCTGCCGCAGACAGAGCAGCTCAGACTCCACTCGAGCTTGTTTTGATCGGGAGAGTTCAAGTAATTCATCCCTCCAGCTTTTATCTTCATCTGGGCAACAAACACAACAACCTCCATTCATTTAAAACAG